TATATATATATATATATATATATATACTTTTCTACAAAAATTACGTTCGTACGCGAACATTTCTATAAAAATAATACGTCCATTGAATAACACGCGATGTGACACGTGGACAGGCAACGCGTGTTACTCGAGTGAACTGTCTTTACGGAATACTCACAAGTTATAATAATTACGAGTAAATTAGAGAATTCATTCCCCGGTACATAATGTAAACTTGGACGCATCGCGGACTTTTCCGCGCGGAGGTCTCAACTCGGTCAGTTTTTGACTTAACGGCCCGACTAATCTGCATGCCGCAGAGCAACGTGTTATCGCGTAAAATGCGGAGGAGTGTTCTCGGATATCGGGAATGGATGCCGTCGGGACTTCATGGTTGCATCATACACGACGCTATGACGGGAGGCGAAAGGGTGAAAGATAAAAGGGGGTGGTGGTGGTCCGTGCGACACTGATCCGCCTGCGAACGTTTCGATTCCTCCATCCGTCAATCTCTCTCAGGCAGTGCTCGGGGAAAAGAAACGAAAGAAAGATCGACTAAACGCACATTCAATGCATAACAACAACACGTGGTTGGTGTGTGTGTATGGTGGTTGCTTACGCAAGGCGGACCGGTCTTTCAGCGAGCTGATCTCGCGGAAGCTCCAAGCGTCCCTCCCCTCCGAGTCGGGCTTCCGCTTCGAGACGTCCAGCTCGCTCTGAGATTTCCTCTCGACCCGCCACTCAAGCCGCGCTTCCTCGTCTCTCGCATCGCTCTCGCACGACAGCTCGAGGGCGCTCCCTCTCAGCCGATCGTGACTCACGCGCCTTCTGCGAGGTCTCTTCGGCAGCCAATCAGGCCTCGGAACCTCGGCAACCGAGATCGGGCTGCCTCGTTCGCGCCTCTTCGAGTTCAGCTCCTCGAGCGACCGACAACGATCCGTCGCTCGCGTCTCCTCTCTACCCTCGAAGACGGACTTATCGCCGGTGAATCTGCCGAGTCCTTCAGTCTCGGTGGCTCGAGCTGAGCTGAAATGGCCTTGCCGCCTCGATCCTCTCTTCGACTTCAACTCCTCGAGAGAGCGGTGGCGGTACCAGCGCGTCTTCTCCTTCAACTCCGAGCTCGATCCGTCGCGAAGCTCGTGGAGAGAATCGAGGTCTTTGCTCGCCGGGAACCGCTCGGCGGGATCGGCTAGGAACTTGCTGCTTAGGATACTGTCGCAGCTGCGCGTCAACAACTTGGTCCGATCGGCCACCACCACCTCCTTCCTCCCACAAGTCGCGGCGCCGATCAGATTGTCCTCGCTGCCGCAGAGCGGCCTGGCGATTCGCACGCGCAGAATGTTCAGCTTGTTGTCGCGCGCGGTACTCGCACGTGGCGGAAGCATCGACGGGCTTGCCGAGGCGGAACTGTCGTGGGAAATGTCTATGAACAGGCACGGCTTGGAGTGCTTGCCGCAATGGCGCTGACGGGCCTGCGATCTGCCATCGTCCGGGGAACTTCTCGCGACTTTCGAGAGCGACAGCACGATGGAAGAGTGAGAAGATGAAGGGGAACGCACGGAAGCTTGGGGAGAAGAAGAAGAAGACGAAGAGTCGGAAGCTTCATCTCGCTCGGTGGTTCGCTGGGCGTTGTTGTCCGCAGACGGTAACTTCCCTCGGGGCATTGTCTCTAACCGATCCGCTGATCGAGTGGAGTTGCCGAGAGCAGAAGTCTCGTCATCCTCATCCCTTGAAAGGACCCGCTCCACACTCCGCTCCGGTATGAACAGGGGCGCATCGGCATTGTCCAGATTCAAGAATTGCTCGAGTTGCTCTACGATCACCTGCTGCTCCTCCAAGGACAGCTTGGAGCTGCTATTTTTCATGTTCTTGGCAGCCTGATCGTCGCTCTCGCTACTCGACGCGTCGTCGCAATCTCCGATCTCGGTCAAAGCTGCGCTCTTCTCCGCGCCGACTTGCTCCTTACTGCCGCTCGACGAGGGAAACTTGGCGGGGCAATGGTGAAGTCTACACTCCTGGACGGCGAAGTCCGTCTCGACGTCAACCAGTATGACGTTTCGCCCGGCAGCCGACGGGCCGACCCGGCAGTCGTCGTCCGCCTCTCTCTTCGTCAGATCCGAGTCCGACTTGCACTCCTTCACGCGCCAAGCCTCCTTGCACTCGTCGCCGTCCTTCCCCGGTGTCACGATGTCCGGCTCCGACACAAACTGCCGGGATTCGGTCAGCTTGGTGGACTTGAACCTGATCAGGCCGGCGTCGCCGAGTCTCGAGAAGTGCTTCGCCAGGGCGGCGACCCTGCCGCACCCCAAGCGCACCTCCTCCGGCGACTTCCAGCATTTCTCCGGCTTGGACTCGTCGCTGGACACGTCACTGTTCAGTCCGCTCAGATCAAGGTGCAGCTCGGGCATGATGGTGTACATCTTGGGAGTCGAGATCCCGTCCTCGGCGCTTTTGTCGGCCCTGCTCGATTCCTCGTTGATCGTCGAGCTGGACTCGTCCGCGCAGCCTTCGGAGTTGGAGACTTCCTCCAGCCTATCCTCGAGTTGCTCGTTGATACTCAACGCGCTATTACCCGCGCCTAAGAGGCGTGCCTGACCAAATCCCGCGACCGCCTCGCTCTCGACGGACAACTCGGTCGATTTACTCGGCGAGAGATACAGATCGCTGCCACGTGCGTCCAGCTCGAAATCGGACTCCGCGGTGTTTCGAGTCCGCTGACTGCCGCGATCTACGTCTGAGCGCCTCTGAGCGCCCTTAAGACCGCAGTTGCACGACGTTCCTTGAACACATTCAGAAGCCTCCACGGGATTGGCGTCGTCGATTTGATCGATGTACGGTATGGTGTCGAAGAAGCTCCGGTCGAAGGTCAGCGACGAGAGTTTACAGTCGTTCACGGGCGCCGCGTATTCCTCCGGCGGTGTGGTGATCCTCTCGAACGGATTCACGGGGTCCGCCGGGTAAACCGAGCCGCCCGCAGCGAGTCCGCCAACGACACCCTCGTCCTCCTCGATGATCCTATCGTCGCTCTCATCGCTCTCATCCTGATATATGACGGACGACACCGCGTTGTCGCTCGTTATGGAGATCATGGGACAGTAGAGGGGCGTACGGGGTTTCGGGATGCGCACGGGGGAGACGGTGGGGGTGGATGGACGACACAAATACTCCCTCTCGTCGACGGGATAAGCGGACAGATACGCGCTTCTCCGCTGGAGAACGGAAAACAGATCCTGCCGCACAGAGTGGCACTCCTCGAGGTCGACTCGCGGGAAGGCTCGATCGAGCTGATTACGGTAAAAGGCCGTTTCGGCAAAGGACGTATCGGGAAAGCGTAGGGGTGGGATCGCACCTGGTTGAGATACATCCTGACACGCCGTCTGCTTCGGCAGGGACAATAAGTCGCCCATCGAGTGTGACGTGGCTGGCTGACCGGCCGCCGCTTCCGCTAGTCCCGCCGGCTCTAAGAGCTCGGACCTCGGCCGGCTTTTATAGGCTACACGAAACAAGTGGTTAGTCAAGCGTTAGTAAAGCGGCCTGTCTCTCTCTTTCTTTCTCTCTCTCTCTCTCTCTCTCTCTCTCTCTCTCTCTCTCTCTCTCTGCGAGCGAAGCGAAGCGGAAGGCGTTACTCCGACGGAGCGGTTATTTAGATCAAGAAAACGTCCGTCACAACGGGCTACCGGGTGACCGAGGCGTACACCCGGCCGGTATTATAACGCAGAGCACGGTATATCTCGCTGTAACACGTGCGCTTGAGGCGAGAAAGTGATCAATTCGCTCGCTGAGCCGAAAGTTATTTCACCTTTCCCCAGTTAGTTTAATTTAGTTTCTCAATCGTGTCGCCGTTGAATCGCCCCCGTGGTGGAAAATGCTCGTGATACAACGTCAAGAATAATTTTCTATCGTCGACAGAAATAGTTATTTTGATTCTTATGCAAAGAACTTTGAGAAAGAACGATCGGATATTCGCCACTGATACCGTTACCATGCCGCATGAATGATCGGATTCTTTGCGAATTTGGACAACCGAGGCACATGGACGAGACAAGAGACAATTTCGACGTGTCGATTATACCTTTCCCGCTCCAGAGACTTAATCAATCTCGCAAATTACGGCGTTATTCGTAAATCTCTATACGTACCTCTAGTCATCACCGGAGAAGGCTGAGATAACAACGTTGCGAGTCCATGGTATATGGCGCCTTGCTTAGCAACTTCCAACGTTACGATGGGTCCGGTACGCACGAGATACTCGGCAGCCCTGTAAAATTTTCGCAACGATCAAAATGTTGCTTCCCATGCGTATATTCCTTCCTAGAGGGAAACTATTAATTAAAATCAGAATTTGGAAAATCCGCTGTACTTTTCTTGTGTAATCCCGACGAGACTTTGTCCATCCACCTTGAGCAGCTGATCGCCCGCTGTCAGTCTACCATCCTGAAAAAGGACGTTAAAACTGATTGAATAGTTCTAAATAAGAATAATGATATATATATATATATATATATATATATATATATGTGGCTCCATTTAATCCATTTTAAATATTTAATTAACGGCGTAATGAAAATGGTAAATATGACAAGATTTTCGATTTGTGACAATCAAGTAAGCGCGATTACTTACAGCATCGGCTGCACCGCCAGCGACCACACTCTTTATGTAGATGCCTAATCGATCCTGTCCCGCACCCTGTGTTATCAAAATGATCAGAATTAAAATATCGTATTTCATTGATAAATGGATATAATTAAGGGTACACACCTTCGCCGCCACGATGCTCAAGCCCATGCCGTTGGTGCTCTTGTGCAATTTAATGACATGTATATCCGGTTGGGCTTGGTTTTGAGTGATGTGACTGGTGTAACCACTCGATCTGTTGCTCATCGCACTGGGACTGCGTAACTGCAATGAAAATTTGAAAAACACCCGTGAGCTGGCTCGTACAAAATATTGTACATACGCACTCTTTCTGCGGATACAATAAATCTTCTGTAAATTGAAAAATAATCCGTACAACAGACAGTTACATGGTTTTGTTCATTGACAAATTGTTATAACTTTTCTTTAAATTAAAAAATGTAAAATTATACTAACTTTTATGTTAGCTGATTAATTTTTGCATTAGGAGAAACACACGTGTTACTTCACTCGGGTGGAAGTTATTATGGAGACTCGCAACTCACATTGTTATGATGATCTATCATGTAAATGGTCCAATAGCCGCTGCTGGTGGGTTGAGCTGCCATTCGACACAGACCGTCCCGCTGCAGGGGTGCTAAGAATTCCGCCAGTCCTGGCGGAACACCTCTTATCACCTCGCAGCTGTAGCCGTCATCGGGTAACAACAACGCCAATCCTAGAACAGGTTCTTCTTCCAGTCTTATCTCCCGGCCGTCTGAACGCGCGAGCGTATCCGCAACGCTCTCCGCCACCTGTGACACGCGAGATTAATCGTATAAAATTAATGCATATTCTACATAAACCAAACTAGAAATGTATCTAGTCGGCCCAAGTCAAAAGCTAGTAGCTAGCTAGTACAGAATAGATTAAATTTTCTCGCTCGTTGCTGATTCGTTAGTGGCAGATTATTCATTAAAATGTAGAATCGGTTTTATGACTTAACTACGTTGCCCAAACACTGATACCTATAAACAGATCCTCAGATAAGAGTCTTTTCGAACGTACTCACCCTCACAACGTTCTCGATCAACTCGGCAGGCAGCCTGGGCTCATCCGCGGCAGGCTGATATTTCTGCAGCAGCGCCCTGACTTGCAGAGAATTCAGTTTGAAGCAAGTGGAGCTTAAGGTGGCCAGCTCTTCGGCGTTGTACTTGGGTGCCTGTAGCAGGTGAGTCGCCTGCATGATCGTCGCCAGGTGGCACTGACTGGCGAGTTCCAGACCTTGCCTCTCGGCCCAGGTCTCCAAGGCGTTCAGCCGTGCCTTCAGTCTGCGGCCGAACCATCGGACGCACAGGTTCCCGTTGGAAACCAGAGTGTTGAAGGCCGTGGCGTTGATCGCGTGGAAGAGATGGCTGAACAGCTGTATCGTCAACGCGGCGTTCACCCGGCATCGTCGCAGCAGCGCCATCGAGTTCGAGAAGATCTGCAGCACCCCGGCCTCCTTAGCCGGCTCGTCCGCGTCTGCCATGAACTGAGTCATCGCCGGCGCCAGTTCCAGTGTGACACACCGCACCAGCGAGCTGAACGACGTGTGCACCGCGTCCGTCAGGATGTCCTGCGCGCGCGTCGAGAATGCACCCACGTGCCGGTCGCTCTTCAACATGTGCAGTAGCTCGGAACCGTTCGCCAGCCAGAAGGCCAACGACGAGGCGTCCATGTAACGTTCCTGAAAACGACGGTTAGAAATAAGGAAAGGATAATAAGGGAGACGTAACTTTATAACTGGAAGAAATCTGTTAACTGGATATTTCCAATTTGAAAACTGGGAGAACTTCATTTGTGTGTGAACGAACTTAAAAAAAATTTGAAAATTTGGGAAAATTGGGAAAGCCTGATTTAAAAACAGGGAGATATTAATTGAAATTCAGGGATACCTGGATAACGCGTTGTATCATGGTAGCGACATTCGCCAGCATAACAGTGAGACGGTGCGCTCTCTCTGTGGGCTGCAGTTCCGGTCTGTAGTGAGTGCTGGCGCGGTACCTCGCGCTCAGGTAGAGCGTGTAGGTCGGAGCCAGCTTGAACTGCGGCGCCGAAGGCTCCACGTCGGTGATAACGGCATGGAGGAATGTCTCCTCCGTTTCCTCGAGGAACTCCAGAACGGCGGGCAAGATCGGATCCGTGCCTCGCGGCTGTCGGTCGTACTGTGCCAACCTGTCAATAATTAACGTATATTAGTCCCACTTTGTTGAATCCAATTATTCGAAACCCCAAAATGTCTCTCTCATACGAAACCAAAGATTGTTAATGTTTCAAGAAGAGCAATTTTCTATCGCAAATTTCTAAGACACTTTTTAGCTCCGCTGTAAATATTATAATTCTACAAATATATTTGTGCTTAAAAAAAAAACACATTAACGGTACATTTTACAAATTAGTACTCCAAAGATACATTGAATAACACATATAATAATCGTGCATTTAGTAAGCCTTGGAAATTTGACTAAATTAGTAAGGCACGTAGCACTGACAATTAAAGAGTTTCAGGAGAAAACGTGCTTTGAGAATGAGAGAATGTATTCGAATAACGTCGAGTTGAAATTATTAAACCACGCATGCAGAAGATTAGCATCAATCATCCCCGGGAGACATCTGATATCTTCGCATCGTGGTCCGGGCTCTTCGCTATAAATCCGGCCCTACGCGCTAATTGTTAACAAACCCCGAGTATCCCGGTTTCTTAGCTCGAGTCTTAAGCGTTAACTCGCCGCAAGATTCGTCGGCGTATTGCGCTACCTGTTGCCGTCTCTGCTGCTGCTCAGACTGGCGGTCTCCACATTGCCATCTAAGTCGAAGGTGGTCTCGTAATTGTGCGTGGGTTCCGACGGATGGGTAGGACTACGAGCGCTATGAGCGGCAGCGGACTTGGAAGGACTCGACGGGGTGACTCGCTCTTGAGCCTGACTTGGGGCCTGGGCACCGCCGTTCGGCGTGCCGGACCCTGGTCGGAACTTCTCAGAGCTGACGTCCTGGCTGGTAGCGTCCGGCGAGCGTCTGTCGTGATGTGCGTACGAAGCGCGAGCATCGCGACGAGAAAAGCAAACATGAGGCAAACCGAGCGAAATAAATAAACGTAAACGGAGCGAATAGATGTGATAAACTAAACTGAAATAAACCGGAGGGAAAACTGTGAACGGGACGGAGACAAAGTGCGTAACAATGCTTGGTCGACCGACGAGTCGCAGCTCCGGCCAAAGATAAGATTCTCGGTAACTCGTTAACTCAATTCGTCAGCGTTCAGACATTGTGGTTCACGTGAGATTTAATAAGATACAGCTGCGATGATAATTATAACGAACGGAATGAGTGTGATTACCGTGAGTGCACTTGAAACAAGTGACGACAACGAATAACGGCTAAGTCGACGAGCGAGCAACACATTCACAACGTCTATATTCTCACCTGACCTGCAGCGATGACAGGCATAAGAAGAAGTATCGAACTTACCGGTCGTAAGCGTAGTCGATCTGTTTGTTGGAATCCTGTCTTTGCCTGATGCGTTCCTCCGGTGCCGGGTCGATAAATCGGAAAGTGTGCATCCTGCCGAACTTGATAATGGCTCCATTCTGTAAAAACCAAACGATATTTCATGTATCTATTGTGTAGTTTTGAAGGCTCGGGAAAAACAGAAATTTTCCCCATTTTTCCGCGAATTTCTACGATTTCTTGTATCTTCTTTATGGCAAAAAATAAACCTGACGGGTTTTAACCGAACATACATAAATTTTCTAAACGAATTTTCCTACCCTTTTTCTACCGGAACAGAAACCGAAAAAATCCACGGAAAAGTAGGGGAAAAAAACCGGTTTTTTCCCGAGTTCTGAAAATTATAATCTATTGTTACAATCCGCATCTAGAAAAATAATTTTTAAATCCAGTAAATTTAGTGAATAAATTTAATCTTTTAATTTTTAATTAAAAATAATGACAGTTCTTAGTAAAGAGGGCAAACGAATTTGCATCTCAGGCAATAATTTCGAAAATATGCGTCGCAATTCTCATAATATTAGATATTAATAGTTGTAAAAAGGACGAAGAGTGGTAAAAAGCGGCATCGTCGAGGGACGCACCTGCAGTATGGTGGTCTGGTGTATCCTCTGGTTATTGACGTACGTGTGCGCGTCTCTGGAGCATGGCGTGAGAGTGACAATGTTCTCGGTGAAGGCTATCACGCAATGCCTCGGCATCACTGTCGGCCCCGGCAACGTCAGCGTTTGCGCTTGCACCGCTTGCGGCCCGATCGGCCGTTCCGAGCCTACTTCCGTCACATTCGGCTGTAACCGGTGTCGCACCCCGGCACCGTTTGGGATATCGCTGCCGTCAGGATTCAGCTCCAGCAGGAAAGGCAGCCTTTCGTCCTCGTACCTGTAAGGATAAATATCGCTTCGTTTAGAACATATAACATGACGACTATAAGGTTACGTAGAAAGTGGATTAATAGACGTCACGTGCGTTTCACGTACATGGTAAATTACTTCTCTTTTCACGAAGTTGTCTCGTTAGCAAAAGCACACGAGAGAGATTGTATCTTACAGTTTCCATACCTTCTGCGTAAATTATATTACACTGTATATAAAATGTGTAATTAATTGTAAGCTATATCCGGACGATAATGTAATTCGAGTTTTAACTTCCAGGATAATTGTTGTTAGAAGGTTGGAAAGTTATTAGAAATAGTGGCCACCATTTGAACTTTTCTGCCGAGTAGGCGAAAGAGTAAAAAATGGAACGAGGTTGTAATATGGAACTCGCATTTGTGCTAAAACTATTGCAAGCTACCTATTGTAATTACACTCATTAGAAAGATTAGGTTCCGTTTAAGTCACTCGAGTAACGAATTGCAAATTCGTCGAAGAAACAAGCATCGAAAAAAAAAAAGAAAAGTCACTTCTCAGATGCTTCCTGCGTACTACAAGTATATTCGAGACTACGTACCTGTGATCCAGTTCGTTCCATTTCCCGGCTGGTTTCTTTTTACGTTTCCGCGGCATGTAGTCCGCGGGCCTCCTCCTCACGTGAAACATAATAGAGCCTGCAATGAAAATGAATACCGGGACATTTTACTCGAGAGTGCAAAAAACGAGCCTGTGATCGCAATAGCGACGACGTAATGGTTTCTTTCACATCTACGTGAATTATAAGGTGTGTATAGACTAATATGGAAATTACAACACTTGCGACAAAGTAAGGTAAAAGAACAAAAAGGGAGATTGACAAGTACAAAACGAAAGTGACAAGAAGTCGATCGGTCCTCGCAACTTCGGAGGAGCACAAGGGGGCGAGCGACGGGAGAAACGGAGGGAATAAAAGGAGCTTCTTCGTCGGCCATTACGGAGAGAACGTTCATCCGTTAATTCAGAGACGCGCGGCATATATAATAATCGCGCATGAGAAGCTTCGCGGTAAATCGTCGAATTAGTATGATGGACTAGATAGCGATCGTGCATTTTTCTCGCGTTAAAGTATTACCGCGCGCGTCGCTACCGAGCACGCACGTGTGTGAGTGTGTGTGTGCGAGGCCCGCGGGCTTCTCACGGAAGAAGACGGAAAGGGAGAATGACTCTCGGCTTCGGGTCAGCGCGCCGCACAGTCATTGCACCCGTCGTCGCCGGCGCGTTTTCATCGCGTTTCCCTCGTCCTTGCTTTCGCGAACGACGTCGCGCTTTCGTACTTTCGACCCCGAGCACAAACGAGCGGCTTTCGGGCGGCGAAGCACCGGGGAAGCTCGGGTTTTGCGGACCGCACACGGAGAAAAGTAATTTTGCTGTTATCGAAGAAATTATCACAAGTAACATTTGCTTCGCAAAATTTCAATTTCTTTTTCTCAATGCAGCACAATAATTCGTAGATTCGGTAAAATGATTCAGCGAATAGCAATTAGTATTTTTAAGAAATTGTTTTGCTGTCCGTGTAGTAACTGACAGATTTTACTGCGGCAGTATAAAATTTGCTGTGCCAACAAATTATCTTTCTCCGTGTGTGGAATCCAGTGATCTAGGAGTCTAGGAGGCTTAAACCGTTAAACTTCAAGCGATCGATGCTAGAGAACGGAATTCGGACTATTGTAATCCGAGCGATTCGGAACTTGAGAAGCCCTCAGTGATTCCCGGTCAATTTCGGTAACGGAAAAAACCAGTTGGAAACGTCTCGGGTTTTAACAATACAGGACGGCAGGAATCCGAGGTATTCTCGAACAAGCCGCCTGAAATTCTAAAGATCTCAATGAAACCTCTTACGAATCACAAGATCGTTCGATTTCCAAATCATCTACCTAAAGAAATTCCACAGGAGTTCAAGAGTTTGACAAGAATCCGAGAAGAAAAATCTAAGGATCAGAGGGATGTGTCGAGAACATATCATAATATCAATATTCGAAAACAGTATTTAATCGTAGGATCGAAAAGGACGTTCAGTTTAATTAATGTATTAATTCACTTTGAGGGTTTTTACAGACATTTTACATACATGATGATAAAAAAATTAAAAATTAAAATGGACCTATAAATCTTAAATATAAGAAAATTTCGGAAAAAATATATTCTAAAATATATTCTGAAATATAATGCAAAAATATATTCTGAAATATAATGCAATCTTATACGGATAAATAAAAAAAATATTAGGATTTTAATCTAATAATCTGCGCACGTCTGTAGTAAATAATTTCTTTTTCTATGCATCAACATCTGTATATTGTTTCAATACACGGTATTTTTATTTTTCCCTTACACCGTGATGATCCATGGTTTCTTCTTTATCGAAACTAGCGACTCGACGGTTCAATAAACGAGCGTTCTGAGTGCTGAGGCTTTAAATTCTTTTTAAAAGCACTCACCCAACATTACCTCCACCTTGCCGCTTCGACGTGGCTTAAACGGCCAAAGTCCGATCATGTAACAGTTCTAGATCGACAACTCACGCACGCGCAACAACATCAACGTTTAATATGTCAACGTATTATTTTATTATTATTACGGTTATTACGAGGAGTATCTTTTATTCGGAACACGTGAGGTCTATCCTATGGATTTACGCCAATGAGATGCGTCTCGCAGCAGATGACGATCTGTGTTACGACGAGATATCGCACAATTACATTTTTAAGCGAGTCGTTTCTCTCGAGAATTCTTAAGACGGCGCTTTATTTTACGAGAACGTATCAAGGAGGTTGTAAGGCTTTTGTGTGTCGTTAAAGTGTCGTATTTTTTTACTTAATAACGCATCAAAGGAGATACGTATAAATTTAGTATTATCAAGCAAAATTACGTTTCCGTACATTTATTTCACTAATTTTACCTAAATAATAAATACTAATTTGAAATGAAGTAGAAGTAGACATATGTATGTACAATATTACAAATACGAAAATATTATTCTTTTATTTTTCTTATTATGCTATTTTTATTAGTTGATAGAGATGTACAGATAATATATCTGTTGATGAACTTGCATTGCCTACATTTTCAAAACAAAATGATCAATAATTCCGAAGTTTACTTATATAATATCTGTATATCAGTCTTTCGTATCATAGTAATTTCCCATCAAAATCTTATTTTTAGTTTAGAAACTAGTAAGGAAAGGAAAATAAAAATAGCGTGTTAATCTCAAGGAACACGTATAAAAGGTGTCAATTTTAGTTGCAAATATCTCAGTTCTCGAAAAAGTCAATCTTTTTCTAACTGCACAAGCAGTTAGACAATATTTCAACTTATATATATTGCAAGTTTTTCATCAAATTCTTGTCAAACTTTGCACTTTACAACCTCCTTAATCGACAAAATTGTTTACGCGTATATATGCCATCGCTATTATTTATTATTCGTCTCTTAAATCCCAGCAGTCGATGTTTAGGAATAAAATTTCGATTGACGAGTGGTTTCGATTGCACATGGGATTTGAATCGCGAACGTTCGTGGAACAAGATGTTCAGAAAGGATAATAAAAATCTTGATGCTGTTTGCAGAGTTGAAGTCGCGATAAACGGAAATGATAGACTTAATAGGCCAACTGTACTTTCCCAAGGACATCGCGAGAATAAGTATAAGTTTCACGCTGATTTTCCCAGAGCGTACGTACAAACGCGTATGAATCGATTAGCGTATTCTAGAAATAAATCTCGTTGTAAAATAAAACTCAAGTTCCATGTTCAAGAAATGTGGTGGCGCATATCATTAAGTTACACCTGTTGCGATTTGAACGTAGCTTTTTCAGCTATTCACAAGCAAAACGACAGACGCGATAATACGAGAATACGAGAAATTACCGGGTATCACACGCACACAAATGATACGACGTTGGCACGACGCGAGCAAAAGCTGATATCCTTCCGCGCACAAATGAATCCTCAACTTCGTGGAAATTCGCTTATGTAACGCGCAATTTAACTATACATGTCGTTTTCATCTTTACCGAATCACAAGTCGCATTTCACTGATAAAAAAAAGACGATGCGCACGGGCGAGCGAGCGGAGAGCGGAAGAGAAGCCTGACACAAAATTAACGGTAATGTAATCAAGCTTCACGCGCGCGCGTTGCTGAGTGAATTAATAATTCATATTTGCGCACGAATTGTGTTATATAATTTAACAAATTTATACTTTATATTCCGTCAGACCATCGGACGAATTTTCAACGGGCGCGAGCTGCCGCGAATCAAATCGCGAGTCGCACGATTCTGCAGAAAATTGATCGGCGTTTTTGGCTAATGAGCGGCCGCAAATGCACGGCGTGCATACGAAAAACGATAATGCGAATGGTAATTATTCGCGTATCACGAGACACTCCATGCGCGAAAGCGAACGTAACGCGTTGAACGTTTTACGGCGCGGCCGCCGGACGCGCGATACTCTACGGCTCGCCCGTTAAAACAACACTGGTGTGTAACTTCTTGTTACTTTCGTTCCGTACAACAGCACAGGGTGTACATAGAAACGAGTATGGTAGAGCGCACGTGAGGCCGGCGCAAGCGTGATGAACAATGTCGCTTGCACTGTACGAGGCTATAGTGGTTTCTTCATTTACTCGCGCCGTGGAATTATTTATTAAAGCCGTCGCGTTAGGTCGAGAAGGATTTGCGCGTGATAGTTTTAATTTTTCATCAAACAAAGTCGGGTGAGAGAGGGAGACAGAGAGTGAGAGAGAGAGAGAGAGAGAGAGAGAGAGAGAGAGAGAGAGAGAGAGAGAGAGANGAGAGAGAGAGAAAGAAGGCAGAGGAAGGATGTCGTTTCGCCTAATTAGCTGGCTGGCTCGCAGGAGCCCAAGGATCTCAGTTTTCGAGGGAGAAAAAAGACGCGAGGGAACGAATAAGAAAGTAGTTAAGACACAAGAGAGACGGAGATAAAAAGATTTTGCAGGTACGATGGTGTGGCACGATTAAATGAGGAAAGATCGAAGAAACGACGTATGCCCTGATCGTCGAAATGACTTATGTCAGTCCATACAGTTGTACAATCATGTTCAATCTAAATCCGTTATCATCGAACCTGACAGGGAGATGAGAAAAGATGAGTACCTGCTCGTACTTTCTTTCTCTTTATATAACTTCGATCGATCCAAGTGCAGCGAAGGCCAACTGGCTTTGACCCATTCACGGCCAACGTCCCATTTCTCGGACAAAAAATGTATCATGAATAAAATGATATAAATAACTTTTCACATTTTTCAATTCCTCCCCTTAAATATTCTTCTCTTGCTATAATAAACCTTGAGCGTGATAAAATTACCTGGAAAGATAATCACATTGCTCATTGTTGCGCTCTTCAAGAAACTTAACAAGAGAGTCACGACACTCTACTTGTTTCATGCTAAATAATTCTTGTATAACGGTGAATGTACTTAAAAAAAAAAAAAGAAGGAAACGCGCTGTCCTCCGGACATAAGACCAATCAAAAGTTTCTACTTAATGATTCTAACATTTAAAATACGAGATCTTTAGAAAGCGGAAATAACTCGGGCTTGATTGATATTCTTTGTGATTGCGGCCTTTCTCAATTGCGCTTGGATTGCGGGCCCGGGTCGCTTCGATTGAAAACGCAATTCATCATCGTCGGGCTCGCAATCGAGGAGCGGGAATTTCGCTCGGTCGCGGAGCAACACGTCGAAACAATCGGGATCGACGCACGCGACTATTACTACCGGGCGGAAAGGAGAAACTACCGACGGTATTTTTAGAGAGAGACGAAGGTGGCACGCTAGTGCCTCGAATGTAGGTCGACATACAACGCAGACCGTTCCGGCGTTTTATTGATTTTCCGCGCACCCAATTCCGGCGTGCACACGCCGCGTCGTCTTATCGTTTCGCGCGATGCGTAAAAGGAAGGTGCACGATGCACAAGGGAGGAGATCATAGGAGATTACCGTGCTTCGACACTTTGCCCTTTCTTGATCCTACCCGACCTTTCCGCCGGCCTTCGAACACCGCACGTGCGCTTGCGCTTGCGCTATAAAAAAGAACTTGCGCAATCTAAAAGACCAGAAGGTTTTTCTACCCTTCTTTACATAAAAATACTTTGTTTTTCTGTTCTTTTTTCAAGGCTTACACTTTAAAGACATCAATCTAAAGTTCAAATACGTGCACTTTTATGTTAAAATGAAAATTGATGATTCTATTCCGATTGAAACTTATTCGAGATCGCGAAGCCGAGGAATAAATCCCACGTGCAAAAGTCGCATCCGTCCAAGCTTAAAGATGTCCAGAAGTCGAAATAATGAAAAAATTATAAATTGATCTGAAATTATACTACACTGCACTTAAAAGTGACACCAAAAATTCGAAAATGAATCTGAATCAAAAGTTATTCCACTTGAAAGAAGGTTGTAAGGTGAAATGAATTTGATGAAAATTTGATGAAATTTACATTGCATATATATTGAAATATTATTTGACTCATTGCTCGTGTAATTAGAAAATAACTGACCACTCGAGAGCTGAGATACTTCTAACTAAATTTGACACTCTTTATACGTGTTCCTTGAGATTAACGTGCTAATTTTAATCTCTATTTAATACCTCCTAAACTAAATCTAATGTTTCAATGGAAAACTATTATGGTATTAAAGACCAGTATGTAAATATTATAAATAAATTTCAGAATTATTGACCGTTTTGTTTTGAAAATACTACGATGTACAGTTCATAACTTACAATAATATTCGAAATATACATGTACATGCACATATTTAAACACATATACATCTCTTCCTATTGTCTGTACACCTCTATTAGATCAACCGATGCATAAATATGGTATTAATAAGAAAAATAAAAAAAAAAAAAAAANATATATGTCTACTTCGACTTCGTTTCAAATTAACATTTATTATTTAAGTAGTGAAATAAATGTATAGGAACGTCATAAATACTAAACTTACGAGTAGCCTCCTTGATACACAATTGAAAATACGACGCTAACAGGCATTACGTCCTTAATCAATCCTCAATGACGAGCGAAAGACAAAAAAAGTAGTTATAGTTTTCCAAATTTACATTCAGTTACAGACATTCGTATTAAGAGAAGATAACTCTCCGGCAGATTGCCGTGTAAATGCTTCCGCCAGAAGGGATTAGTCTATCATCCCAAGTAGGACTTGACGTCCTGCGGGATCAGTGTGTAGTCAGTCAGTTCAAGCGAGCTTACGTCTTATCCCCCAATCCATCATGTCGGCCGATTATTCGCTAAACTTCGTGGTCCCTTCGTCGGATTATTGCTGCTGTTAAATATTGGTCCCCCTTGCCTCCCCCTTTCCTTCCTTTCGTTGTCTCAGCTCGGCGAAAATGGTCCCTCGGGCTTATGGTCGCGCGAACCTTATCAACTATTTTGCGAGGTCGTTGGGCGTCGTAGACGAGACTCTCAAGATCAAATCCCCTCGGCATCAATTCCCGCACCGGCGACGTCGACGAGGTCAACTCTCGGTCTCGGCGACATCGCGCTCACGTTCGAACATTCGATAAACGTCAGTCGTTAGAGTTGACAATTATCGCGTCTTTCTGGGCCTTCTATTTGCGAGCAGCGAGGAGCGTCGTGAACCTGCTCGACCGGTCGCGCGTTTTCGCGGGGATCCCGATCGCCGTCGTCACACGATAATCGCCGTCGGATGACGATGCGCTCGCGCAGAAAGACGTCGGTGTGTGCGCCGCTTACGGACACGCGGTACCATCAATAGTCGTATAAACACGTCACGTTTTAAGCAAGCGGGGATACTCGTTCAGCTGTTATCGCGCTGATAGTCACAGTGAGACCTCGTTCTCCGGGTGTTCCTCTGCCCGCAGTGATATCCCACGGTGCGTCGCCGCGGATATTGATCGCGCTCACGGACGAGCCACGATATCATAATCACCGGATCGATGAACGTATCGATCATACGTCGAAGAACTTCCACGGGATCTCACGAACGCGACGTGCTGCTGTTAATCAACGACATCTCGTGTCCGATCCCGCGTTGATCGGCTGCGATTCGACGTCTCCGAGTCGGTCCTACCTTCTTCGTCATCCTCGCGAATACGTCTGACACGAACGCGTGACGACGGAGGAAGGTCGACGTAGCACGAGAGAGCTGCGGACGCTTCCACAGCAGGGATGATCCGCGATAATTAACGGCCGAGCGAGGACGTGACTGCTTCGTCACCTCGTCCGAGTGTTCCATCACCGCGCGCCGAGGGTGTCACGAGGGTCGATGACGAGTCATCGGTCATCGTCGACCGGGTCGGCTTTGACAGGCCGCGGGCAGATGTAAAGCGCAGTCACGATCGTCGTCGTCACGTGTTATTGGCCAAAGAGACACCTGCGCACTTCGGTTCGCGTGACTTCGCCCGATGCGTCGCTCCGTCGTCCGAAGGAAGGCGCCGCTCGATAAACGAGCCGTTTCGCCGTCTTCGTGGGTTCCGCTGTCGAACTCCCGAAATTCCGAGACACGCACAACGATGCCGCGCGAAGATCGATGAGACACAGTGACAGCACCAGCGACTGTCAAGATCGCGCGCGCTCGGTCACGGGGAAGTGGCGCTCGATAACGGCGCGACAGCGATGGCGACATCGCGGCGCACTCGTGTGCGAAGCATTCTCGTGGAAATGTCTCGAGAGCGGCGCGCGTCGTCACGTCGACGATCATCGAGCATCAGGAAGATCGGAGCGAGATCGGATATCGATATCCGTCCTCGAGTCCTCTTCGCACCTTCGACATTTCCCGTTCTGCAACACAGCCCGCTCGATGGGGGATTCTCGCCGTCGTGGCGATCCCTGTTGTTGGACCTTCTTCCTCCCCCGCTGACACGCCGTCGCTTGCCGATTAATACTGCAAACTTTGCGGTACCTCGCCGACGAGACGATTCTGGTCGCGACGACTATCGATCGATTGACGAGGTGAAATCTCCCCCCGCGAGATTCACTCGTCATTTGACAATCGCCGAGGATATCTCGTTGCTCCGCCTCTTTGCGCTCGCGTTTCCATAATAACAGACAATTAACTTCGTCGCTGATTATTGACGACTCATGTACTCCTCATTAAGCAATTAAGCGCGATTACGGTCAACTCGCTGGAAGAGATCACAGAGACGATACACTACATTACGTCGCACATTACGCGTCCGTTGGAAATCCCTCCGTCGTGCTTTCACGACCGGCAGGATAAAAGAGTCCGATCGAAGTCGGGTTAGGATCAATTAATGCGCTCGATCGGCGCGCCGTGTCACATGCGTGCGATAGCTGATTAGACGCGGCCTGATTCGGTCCTCGATATGAAATTGAAGAGGGTTTACGAGACCGTACGCGCGTAGGAGGATCCACTTTCATCGTTGACTCCCCTTGATATGTCAACGATGGGTCAATCAGGTTCGATGACGTCGATTATGAACGCTCGACGTAGCGTTAGCGAGGTATACCGCGAGCATAACAGCTGTTGTTACGCTTCCCTGCGAGACGCCACGGTGTATCGTAATTCGGCGGCGCACCAGTGGGTGGATCCGCTCTCTCTCGTTACTGCGTATTCTCCTTCTCTTTCTATCCCTCTGATACGTCCGGCTGATGGAGCTAACCCTCGTTCGATGACACCGCGCGTTTACGCGATTGTAATTGTCACGGCTGCAATTGCCCCCCCCCCCC